ATAAACCTAAACCAGCTCAACAAAAATCACCTATTCATACCAACTTCTGCAGTGTGCAATTTTTCCTTTTCAAAAAGTCTCCAGCCATCCTAGCTCTCTGCAAAACTAATCTTAACTCTTCAATCCCTACCTCTGATGTCTCAATTCCTGGCTACCTTCCTCTCCTTAGAAAGGACTCTAAAGTCCACATGCATGGCCTTGGAATTTATATCCGTGAACATCTCCTATTGGTTAGGGAACTCTCTCTTGAGTCTCCAGATCATTTGCACATGTGTCTGTCTCTCACTCTATTTAACACAGTCGGCTATCTCTTCTTTCTCTACCGTTCCTCTTCCTCTCAAGACTTTTGCATGCTAGATAATATTTTCGATAATTTAGGCAAGGCTATCTCACTACTTCCGCTTGTAAACATGTTCGTGTTTGGAGACTTTCATGCCCACCATAACAGGTGGCTTAAACACTCTGTCACTGATCTTGCTGGCATCTGAACCCTTAACTTCTCAGTTACTCAATCTCTTACACAAGTGTTTGACTTCCCCCAAAGTTTCCCTAGTAACCCTGAGGGACACACTTTTCTTCTCAATCTCTTTTTTTACCTCTATTCCTGACTCTTGTCGTACAACACAGCTTTTCCCTCTTGGCAACTCTGATCATATGGTAGTATCTGTAAACATCTCTTTCCACTCCCCCACTGGCTGGCCAAGAACCTCCTATCAACAGAATATCCTTTTGTTATCAATGAGCAGATTGGGACTCATTTTGTGATTTCCTTCATGATGTTCCATGGAAAGAAGTTTTTAATCATCCTGTTCAAAAATGCACATCTGAGGTCTCCTCCTGGGTGAAAGCCAGAATCAATGCTTTCATTCAAGGAAATACCAAGTTAAACCATGTTCATCTCCTTGTTTCTCACCAGCATGCTTGGCCACTATAGACCACAGGAATCACTTCTTCTGCCTGTACCAGAGTAACATGTCTGATTGCAACTGACGTCTCTTTGTCTCTGCTCGTAATGAATGCAAGCATGTCTTCAATGAAGCGAAGTTACTGTTTGCTGATAGAAGGAAATGACATATAGCATCTTACAAGTTCGGTTCCGGAGGCAGCTCTGCAAGAGTGTGCTGAACAACAGCAAATTCTCAATCTCTCCCCTATTAAATCAATTTGAAATCCTGATGTCTACAGCATATAAGGTGGAATGCTCTGTCTGCTTGGAAATATCTTCCAACTCAACACTTGACTCATCTGGAGTATCCACACCTGATTTCCTCCCTAGAACTGAGGCTATACTGAATGATGTGCACATAACTCGTCACTGGTCTCGGACATCATTTCTAAATTATCTATCTTCACTCCTTGGCAATGTTTATTGTTTTAAAAAGCGATGATTAGAATTGTAATAAAACCTAAACACATGAAAGTGAATTTAAACATCTTTTTTGTTCTTGAGAATTTACAACAAAAATAATAAATGTTATTTATTTCTTAGATTGATCTATCAGATTTTATCTTTAAACGTTTAAATGCAATGTCAATCGCTATCTACTGTCTTCCTGATTACTTTTCTATTGTTCTCACTTCTCAGTAATGTTTCTCTTTGCTAATTCTTCCATACCCAGTAACCCTTTGTTTGTGTCTTGGTGGTTTTACTGCCATACTTGGTGAGAACTCTATTAAAAAAAAAAAAAAAACTCACAAGTCTGTGTAAATGGATAGTAGAACAGGAGAAAGAGGAATGGTACAGAGTGAAAAGTTACTTAGATCAACAAGTGACAGAAAGCTGTGGAGAGACATGATTGTAAATTCCACTCTAACAGCTTCTTCAACAAACCACTACTTGGTGGAACCAACTCTCGAGAGTATGCTTCCCCAATCGCTACAATCTTAACCTGTTCAAGTCTAGGATTAACCATTATCTTCCCCACATATCCCCATAAACTGTGCCTCTTATATCTTGCTGTGTAACCCTCTATCTTGAGTGGCTTTTGGGCCTTGTACAAGATGGCATTATTGTAAGCAAAAAAGTCTTCAGCAAAAAGTATACTTAACTGATTGTCTCTCATATACTGTTTTTATTATATTATTTATAAGAATTTTATCATATATATTGTATTATTATCATATCATTTTTTGTTAGCAAATATTGTTTTTATATAATTTATTTTTTTTAAAGTAATGCAATAAGACCTAAGAACCTTTTTGTTTTTTTTGTTAAATTTTTTTACCATCAACAAATGATATAATAATAGTAAAAATAATTATTATCAATGTATATTTATATATTTCCTGTCCCATCTGTAGTGGGAAGAGGAATAAATCAACCTACTATCAAGTTATAAAATTTATGAGGGATTACTTCCCTTAGTTGTTTTAATAATCTCTACAAAAATATATTTATCTGCATTTCGACAAAATTAGTTCTCAAGCAAAATGAACTGTTTAGTTAATCAGTTTCTTCATTCTTGTGTTTATTAGATTTCAGTCTTATTTGTTCAAGTTTTTCATGTGAGGCAATCAGATACCTTTGTCTATTAAGTAATCATCTTGCTTCGACTTGGTCTTCAATTTTGTCATCGCTGTTGCTAATCTTTTTCTTACAAGAGATATTTCCATTTCACCGTTACATTAAACACAAAATTTTTAACACAATTATTGTGCAAAAAGTGATTGATGTGATACCAGGAATAATCAATAAATCATAGATACCAGTGAATGTCTAAAGAAAAAAAAGAAATTTAAAGAGAATGAATTAATTAAACAGTTCCTTGGCTTCTATTTTAGTTGTAAATTCTTTATCTCCGCTTTATTGAATTGCAATACATAGTTTGAATATTTTTATTTTATTGCATCACACTAAAACTTTTTAACATTTACTATCATTTTTGGCAGCAGAAGTACACTAGTATATAATAATGAATAGTGTGATGTTTTGTTTATGGCTATATCATGTTGAAACACTGGTTCTAATATGATAACTGAAGTTGTACCTAGTCAGTACTTGAATTGGTGATCACTTGAGAATGCCAGGTGATGTAACATGTGACAAGCCTAACAAGCCGGTGGTAATCGATATAATTTTGCTACTTACACTTCTGTACTGACAGGTGGAAAGACCTACCTGGAATTGGGTGAGATTGTGAAATGGGACTTTTTCTATATTTTTCTTTATATGTAACTTCTATCACACTAAAACAAACATAAAATCAATATGTGAATCTTGCCCTGATTTGAACATCCGATCTAGAGGCAAGCAAGGCAAGCAAATGACATATATCCACTATGTCAATGTTCTGTTGTTTGAAAGCATGTTAACTTTATAAATATTAAATTAGGCAGATAACACAGATGTTACACTGATCCTAGGAAGAGGGTTGGGAAGTAATACTTTGACTTGATGGAGAGCACACAGATACTAACACTTATTCTAGGCAGAAGGTTGGGGAGTAGCACTTTGACCTGATGTTGAGTGCACAAGTAAGTATTTATTCTGCACCTCCCCCCAACTTGGATGAGATGTGATACAAGGTCTATTTTAGGTGGGTACCTGAGCGCGTACACCCAGGCCAGGAACAAAAATTTCCCTTAGCCCCTGCAGCCGTCAGTTGCACTGGCCTCGGTGCGAGCACTGATCCCTCCCTCTGGTGCAATGGAAGGGCACAGCCTCGGGCAGCTGTTTCCCAGGGCTGGGCATCTCTCAGTATTATTTTCTCAGTTGCCTCTCTGTCCTTTGACAGAGAAACCCCCTGAGCGCACTCTGTCCAAAGACAGAGATGCAACTGAGAGATAAGTAGACGTGTATCTACTCAAAAAGATTAAGGTACACACAAGGTGCACAAGTATTGATCCTTAGCCCAAAATGCTGATTCTTATCTAAATAGTACCTGTAAAATATTATGGCATTATGTTAATGAAGTTGAAGATATTATTTTTGTATTCTGTATGATAATAGAAAATAGTGTTGTAATTATTCATCTTTTTTCTTCTATAATGAGATTGGAAATAAAGAATAAGCTTGCAACAAGATTTTGACTCACATTCTCTTTATTGCGTTCGGTTAGGCCAGAAAATCTAAGCAATAGCTATCATTATCTGATATTAATAATAAAAAAATAAGAGAAAAACTTTTCAAAAATATAATAATGAACAGTTGTTCTTTTTCTATGAGTTTCTTTATTTCTTTGTTCATAACTTGTCATAGCGAGCAAATAAAAATAAGTGAATTTTGCTCTGATTTGAACATCTGAACTTGGTATAAGCAGAGCAAGTAAAACAAGAATAAATATTCACTCAGCAAATGTTCTACTGCTTGAAGAGCATGTTAAATTAACTTATAAATATTAGGTTAGATCACACACTGATCCTAAGCAGAAGATTGGGGAGTGACACTTTGACCTGATGCAGAGCACCCAGATACTATGATCCTAGGCAGAAGTGCCAACACATATATAAATAATCTTATTATTTTTGATGGGTAGTAGAATAATAACAAACTAGTGTATTGTTTGTAATTTGTTACTTTCTGATGCAAACAACAAATTGTATTTATTCAACCAAGTTTCTTGTTGTTTGTGCTAAAGTATTCAATATAAAATTACCAATTAACTTAAGGAATATAAATTGAAAAAAAATAATGAAATTTAAAAAAATATTTATTCAGTCAAAATATTTTTCTTGGCTTTTAATACATCCATTCCACCTTCGTAGTAAGCTATCAATCCCTTTCCTAAAAAATTCCTCAAAGCACTGATAAATTTACTTTGAGTTTCTTAAATTTAATCCTGGTTGAAGAAAGTCTGAAAGGAAGTGGTCTGGATGCTTGGAAAAACATCCTGCATTACATCTTATTAGCTATTTTGTTTTATTAAAAGAGAAATAATGAATGGACTGCAATATTTACATCCCAAATATGTGGAATATTTAACATATGTATAAATTATGTTAAACTTTCTTATGATGTGGTAACAGTTTTATGAATTTTTCTGTATGTAAATTTCAAAGCTTACAGCCATATCACATTGAGACACTGTTTCCATACTATCACCAAAGTTAAGCAGCATTAAGCCTGGTCAGTATCTAGATGGGCGACCACTTGGGAATACTAGGTGCTGTAACTCTGGATGTGCGAATGATGTAATAGATAATTGCTCAGAATTGTTAATTGGAGAGCCGAGTTTTAATTTCAGTTGGGTTCATTATGTTCACTTATGCGCAAACAGTTATCTCCCTTGCACTGGCAACATTAAACGTTATAGACAAAATATATACAATTGACTACTTCATGTTGGACAACTTTACCTAGCACAGGAGTTAACTTTTAAACAGAAGTGGAGTAAATGTTTTTGCTCATTTTAGATGGGAGAAAGTATCCCGTCCTGGGGATTCCAACCCTGTGGCAGCACCTCCCTCATTGCAGTAAGATAGATAGTGTTGGTGTAATATTGATGCCAGCGTGACAGTGGTTGTGGGACTGGGCAACAATTTTTGTCCTTGGTCCATATACATACGTTTGTGTATAGTGCTGTCCATGTAAAAATGATCTTGTGTCCCATCCTGTCTTAGTGGGAAAGCAAGATAAAAATATCTAATAATAAAATTACATTTATACTGTAGTAGTAGTAATAATAATAAAATTACATTTATACTGTAGTAGTAGTAATAATAATAAAATTATTTATACTGTAGTAGTAATAATAATAAAATTATTTATACTGTAGTAGTAATAATAATAAAATTATTTATACTGTAGTAGTAATAATAATAAAATTATTTATACTGTAGTAGTAATAATAATAAAATTACATTTATACTGTAATAATAATAACTAGACTCATTTCTATGTACACTTGTTTGCTCAAGTGGTTATCTAATTCTTGTTTCAGTTGCCTTCTTAGGTTCATCTGTAATTCTTCAACACCCACATAGCCAACCATTGGTCTATAATGCATCTACATAAAGCAGACTTTAGATTTTCTGCAAGAGAGTGCACAATTTGGTACATGATCAGTAGTTGAAGGACTGTACACTGAAAGCTTATGTGCTTGCTTAACTATTATTAACTTTTTAGTTTCATTTACCAAATTTCACTCACATGGCTTGGGTCAACTTGTTTATCTTTTTAAAACATATCCCAGCAGTGCCGTATGCTGGGATCATCTCCCCAGACTGATATTATCAAGGAACAGAACTGGTTGGAATGCCGACACTGCAAAAACTCTGGCATAAACCCTTTTATCTTGTGGTAATTGAGAAAATGGCTAAGTAACATGGAAAGATAACAATATCAGCTTAAAAAATGTCTCTAGAAATGTATGAAGATAGAAATAAACTTAATAAATTTGAGAAAGGAGGAAGGGGACTAGAGAGAATTTACAGTAAATAATTGTGTAACATGCAATGTTTATTTTAAATACCACTGTAGTTTTTGACTACAGTAAATGGATATGTAGTTTGGTCAACGTTGTGGCCAGGGCCAGCAGTACATAGGCTAATTTTATATCTCGTGTATGAAAGTTACATGATATGTGAGTATATATAGTAGTTAAGTCATGCTTTTAACACCCCACTTATCTCAGAGTTGGTATATTTTTCCAGAGAAAGAATTTCATGGTTATAATCATCAAATATAGAATCTGATAGAATGATAAAATAGAACAAATAGGAAATGTTTATCAATCTAACATGTTTCACTTTTATTAAAGCTCCATCAGAGAATGAGACATGAGGGGAAAAAGAAATCATGTTTTTTTTTTTTTTAATTTTATTGAAAATCAAAACCGCACAAATAATAAAAACAGAATTTCTTTCTTTTTCTCCATATCTGATTGTTAAATGTTTCCTATTTGTTCTTATATATGTATATATATAAGAAATTATAATATAAACATTTAAAAATCGCTACACAAAAGCTTTCATGTTTCAATACTATGATTGTACTTCTTCAGGCAATGGCTGGTAACTGGGGATGAAATGATTTTTTTTTTTTAGGGAAATTTAAAACAAATTGTTACCTCTTTTCCGTAAGTTAAATGGAGGGGGGGCATTAGGTCAGAATTAAAAATATACTTGTGGGTATGTCTCAATTAACCAGTTAAATATCAGATCTATAAACTGGATTTTTACTCCATTTGTTTTTTCTCGCATTTGGAGATATATATGTATATAAAAAATGTGATCTTATAAATACAAATACATCAAAATTTGCTAATCTGTTTCATGCAATAACAATCATCAGGCAGATAAAAATATGAAAACAACATATATAATCTGACATATAATCCAGAGGTGGTAGGTATCTACTACCCAGGATGTATGTTTTTAATTAAATAATTATTTTTATGCTTAAATGCAGCAATCAACTCATTTCTCTTATTCAACAGTCATCCATTTTGTTCAATAACACCCTTGGGAAATATGCTTAATGCTGATACCCTTGGGAAATGCATAAATTCATTTCTTTACTTTCAAACTATGGGTTTTAACCCATGGGTAGGGTAGACAGGGATTTCCAGCCTTAGGTGGTAGCCAGTCTAGGAGAACAACAATTCAAAACTAGAGAAGGTAACTGGAAACAAATCCACTCTCTTTTCCAAGAAGTCTGGCAACTTCCAGCTAATAAAAACATCTCTGAAGAGCCATGATTGCTTACATCCTGAAAGGAAGAAGCATTAAAACATATATTTTTCTGGATGAGCTAGTGACATAATGGTAATTGTCATAGAAAATGGAAATGAAAGTAAGTTTATTTGCTTTCACTTTACACTAATGACCTTGGGAAAGGCATGAATCTTTCTCTAAAAAGTAAATAGCTAAGTGGGCTCTCTAACCTTGGTAGGGTAACAAATCTGAATTCAAAATTGGAAAAGGCAACAGGAAACTGTTCCATTACCTTCCCAAAAAACAATCATTGCAATTTCCGGAAATTAAACAAATGGAAACTCTGTAGAGCCATGATCACTGTCTTTTCTCCTTCAAGTTTGTCACAGCTCATTATGTTCATATAGATATTTCTACTAAGTAAGAATTGCAGATTTTACAAGTGCATAGACCAGCTGATTACTAGCAAGGTATAATAGGTTTCTCTTTCCCAGTCTTTTGACCAGGAGTAGAGGTTTACTCCTTGTTTCCTCTTTAGGATTGGGTTTCCAGTTCCTTCTAAAGTCTTTCACTTCCAGTAACCCCTTATGTCATAGTGGCATTATTGCCTTGCTTGGGATAAATAGATAAAAAAAAAAGTAAAAGATAATCTTTGATGCCAGAAGAAATGCTTGTTTGCCTCAACCTGTGTTTTATTTGGGTTCAAACACTGACCATAAGTGTGGAAAGCAAACCTACAACTATCTCATCCATTCAACAAACCTCAAGGTATTTGTTGGAGAAGACAGTTTGGCACAAGGCCATATTCAGGAGGAATAAACTTAGCAACATTGGCTTACAAGATTTAGTGGGGTTGAATAAGTGATCGTACACATGAAAATATTTCATATTTTTATTTGTAACATATTAAATTAACAAAACGTGAATATATCTACTGTATCAGATTGCATACTAAAAATGTATACATACAAAACTAAATAATATTCTATGGTTAAGAAAATATAGCAATATTTAAATTTTTAGGGGTTTAAAAAATGATCGTACAGCAGAACAAAAACACGTTTTCTCCATTTAATATTTTGTAGCAAAGCCTTTATTAAGTTCAACAGCAACCAATCTCTTTCTGTAATCTTTAATTAACGATTCGCATACTTTAATAGGTATTTTGTCCCATTCTTCCTGAGTAATTGTCTTTTGATGTTTGTTAGACCTCTATCACAGATTTTATTTTTCAAAATTTGCCATAAATTCTCTATTGGATTCAAATCCGGTGACTGACTAGGCCATTGTAAGATGTTAATGTTGTTATTAGCAAGCCAATTCTTCGTACTCTTTGCAGTATGCTTGGGATCATTGTCCTGCTGAAAGATCCAATCAGGAGGAAGCCCAAGATTCTCTACAGAATGTGATAAATTTTCACTTAGGATTTTTTGATATTTTTCATTCATTCTACCGTCTATAATTGCTAGTTTACCAACACCTCACATTGAAAAGCAGCCCCAAACCATGATACTACTCCTACCAAATTTGATAGTTGGTATGATGTTCTTGGGTGTGTATGCTTCGCCGTCTTTCCTCCATACATGATTCAGGGAATTGCAACCGAACAACTCAATTTTACTCTGATCTGTCCAATGAACTCTTTCCCAATAAGAATTTTCCTTATCTTTATGCTCTGTCACAAATTTCAACCTGGCATCTCTATGCCGTTTTAGAAGGAGTGGTGTCTTTCTTGGGGAGCATGACTTTATACCATCTGCGTAGTTCATTACTAATCGTTTGCTTAATTATGTTAACTCCTGATAAATTTGGATCATTCTGAAGGTCTAGTCTGAGGGCTATTGGGTTATTTTGGACTTGTTGCATCAACTTTCTTCATAATCTGGGAGAGATCTTCCTGGGAGCAATTTTGAACTGAATGTTGCAATTGAGTTACTGAGAATATTCTAGAACAGTTTAGAATCTTCTACTTTGAAGTACAACTAAAATCTACTGTATTATAATGCAAAAATTGATACTGTACAAACACTTTTTTTCTACTATTTGAAATATAAAGATTTGCATAACTACCACTTATCGATGAATTTCTAATTTTAAATTGCAGATTCTGATTCTATGCCCCAAAATACATGTATAACATTGTTATTCAAGCTTTTCATTCGCTGTAAGTGAGAATAACAAGCATTTGTTTGCTGTACAATCACTTATTCAACATCACTGTATGTATACATAGATTTATCAGTCTGTCATTATGAAAAAATAGCCTTTATTTTACACAACATCTGAATACCTTTAACTTTTATATCTCATTCAGTTCGAAGTTAATTTCTTAAAGATCATTTTTTTTTTCTGATAGGAACTCATTGCAAAAACTTGGTTTGGCCAACTTACCCTCAAATTGCCCATTTAAAGCATGAAGCTAATTGATCTGTTACATGATCACATAATTTGGGACATCCATTTACCAACAGCAACAACAACTAAAAATGGGTAACACATTTAACTTGAAGAGAAAATAATTACATAATAAAGATGTTAACACCATTTAACACCACTTCAAATAAAAGGTTAGGAAGGAAACCACAATCAATAGTAAAAAGAGCAATAACAGCTACTGGACTTGAGAAACATATTTTCCTAAAAAAAAAAAATAAATAAAAGTTTTTTAAAAAGATTTTAAAAATTTCAACCAAAAACAGTACTGGCTGTTCAGTCAATGAATGCCAAATGTTTCCTTATAGGGAAATAACTAATATTACCATTATTAGCACTGTAGGTAACTTTCTCTTTCCACTACAATTGACTCTGATTGATGAATAATAGTGTATTTGTATTTTGTGGTTGTGTTATCATGTCCTACTATGGTCACAACAAAAACAATCTTCATTAAAATTGAAAATGAATTATATACAATAGAAGCAGAAGTAATATTTGTGAATAATGCAGAGTGTTAAAGGTTAAAATCCAATGATTTCTCTCACCTTGGAATGCTGAAAATGTACTTATCCTATTTTCCCATTGCTAAATTAATTCAAATAGTTGAAAAGTAAATTTCAGTCCAAACTTTTCTTGATATGAAAGCTTGTTATGGAATCACAAATTCCAGTGTTATGTAATCATCTAGTAATTTCATATGGTATCATCAGTCATTATGTGCCATACTTGATACATGCTTAGGTGATCATGTATCTTTCGATACATGACTGACGAGGCAGGTTTTTTCCTGCAGTAGGTTGCCATTACTTTCTGCAGTAGACCAGTTGTCATCTAAGGCTATTGAACCTGATCTGTCCTGCTATTTATCCATAACGGGAGGGAGAAGAGGATTCATACTTTTCCCAAGTGTATTAGCATGTAAGTGAATGCAATGGATTCGACTGGAATTTGAACTCATCTCTCCAATTCCTTAATTCAAGCCACTATTCATTACTCCACCATGCCAAATGATAAGAATGTGCTACAGATGCGTGCATTCTGCATCATAATTTTTGTAATAAACCAATTGGAACATGAGTCTTAACTATGGATCATGATAAATTAAGGAGCAAAGCATGAAATTCAAGCAAAATCCATTAGTTAGCATGACTTGTCACTACTCCAGAAATAATGGACTATTCCATGTTTTGATTGCATGGAAATAGGGGAAAAGACCTTACTTGGTTTCAGTGAGAAAATGAAGAAATAAGAAAAGATAGAAGTGGCATTAGAGAATCAGATTAAACGGATAAGAACAAATACTACACTTTGATCTCTGCCAAAAAGCCAAGAATTATGGTGACCATGATAAAAAATACAATTTTCCAGATATGCAGTATCGAAAGACAGAAAATGAGTAAGCAATCATGAAAAATCTAATTACCATAAATTAAATAAAATAACATTTACTTCTGAATTATTTTTAAATTATTATTAAGGAAAATGTTTGTAAGATGGGGATTCGACTAGAAATAAATAAGTGGAGATAAGTGTTTAATGTCTCCAGCCAATACCTCATGAATAATGGACTACCATAATTTCTCGAAAATAATACACATTTTATTTTTTTTTTTACTGTAAAGTAAAAGTGATAGTAGGGATGCGTATTATAAATAGGTTTAAACAAAAATATTTTTTTGTTATTGATTTATAATAAATATGTTCTTGTTCTAAAATAAGAAAGATATTATCCCAATTTTAATTTTAAATCCAACAATAATAATTGTAACAACATTTTTTTGTCAATAAATTTATCAGTAACCGCATTTTTTATTTGTCGAAAAAATAAAAAATCTATAAAAAGGCCAATTTTGAAGAAAAGAGGATATTAAGTTAACAATTTATAGAAATTTTAATCATCATCACTTTCTATTATAGAATTAATATCTGAATTGTCATTAAACAAATTATCATTCACAATATCATCTTCAGCCTCTTCATTCTATTGAGAAAGGATGTCATCTTCAGAACCATCCATGGCTGTCATGGGACAACACTTCTTGAAAAACCTCTCTCTATAACATCTTCAATGACGGAATTCCAAGATTCCTGAGTCTATTTTACAATAAGTTCTAACTCTGGTTTCTTCCTGTTACCACCAGCAGTAAAACTGGGAACACCAGAAAACATCCAGTCATTCCATTTTTTACGTATTTTTTGTTTAAATGGATGCTTGCAGACAACATCCATTACTTGAAGTTGACCAGTCATTCCCCCTGGCATAATAACAAGATCAGTCTTTTTCTCCTGAAGTATATTCTTCATGCAAGGCATCCTATGGCAACGAAATGCATCAAGAACCAACATACGTTTACTTCTTGCAAATTCTGTTCTGTGTTTACACCAAACATTCAGCAGCCAGTCCTTTGTGAGATTCTCATCCATCCACCCTTTTTCATGACATTTTATTATCATACCAGCATTTTTATTCTTTCTCCATAAATGTATGTTAGCCTCATTCAACTCATATTCTCTAGCTGCAGCTCTGATTCCTATTCTTTCTGCTAATCCTATTACATTTTGTTTAAAATTTGCACTATAACTCACATTTTGACAACATTTTGGCAGTAAAATAAAAGGTTATATTTATCGGGAAAACTGCATGGTAATTTTCAACATTATTTTAGCCACTTAGTTTTGATTTTATTCTTAATGTCAAGGTCAACAGAATGTCTTTGTAATTTTTTTTTTTTTTTTTTTTTTTTTTTTTTTGATAAAATTTATAGATGTGTATTATACATAGAGATAGATATATTTCTTAATTTTTGGATCATTTGTTGGGGTGCGTATTATTTATTGGTGTGTATTATTTTTTGAGAAATTACTGTATTCCATTTTGATCGCATAGAGAGAGGGGAAAAGACACTACTTGATTTCAGTGAGAAAATGAAAGAAATAAAGAATGAAAGATAGTATTTAACTGTTGTTTCAGCTAAATAGAAAAAGTTGTCAATTTCAAATCTTTACATTTGTACCCACTTCTTAAAATAACAACCAGCATTCCTATGCATGATTGTTATTGCAATATTTTGTTAAAGTTGTTAAGTTCAAATATTTAACAACATGATGGGATAATTTCTACATATATTTTATTGTCATAGAACACACCATGAACTTATTCAATCATTAACTTAAGTATTAAGATTCATCAGAAAATTCAAATAGGAAAACCATGAAATTTTCACTGGTATTTCTAGTAAACTACTATTTCAGAAATTCATAATTCCAACTGCAGAGGTTCTGTTACGTGGAATTCATGAAGAAATATAAATATAATCTTTCCTTGTCACTGCACTTTGTATATCTAAATAGAGCATAGATTTTTTTAAATTTTAGTTGAAACTCTGATATATAAAGATTATTAGAAAAGAGAGTATTTGGGATTTCTTTCCTAATTTTCTGATGACCTGAAATAACCAAATACAAAATATGGTAGTTCTTCAAAATTCTGAACCTGAAGCCTGGCCACTTAGGCAAATATTGTAATGATATTTAAGCAGATTGAGAATAACAAGTTCTCTAATTGGAAATGGCTTGATTTCTCCTGCTAGATAGAATGTAAACATTATTACATTACAAGTAATGGATAATTATGCTCTTTAATGAAGTGAAATCAGTTATGTGTGGGTGGGTGAATTTGTGCATATGATGAGGTGCAGAAAAGTTCTCAGTACAACCCATTTTGCCAAATTGATCAAATATAGTATTTCTTTATCTTTTCCTTGTCTTTTTTCTTTGTTTTATCTTTTCTTTGTCTTTTTTCTTTGTTTTATCTTTTCCTTGTCTTTTTTCTTTGTTTTATCTTTTCTTTGTCTTTTTTCTTTGTTTTATCTTTTTTCATCTTTTTTCTTTGTTTTGTCTTTTTTTTTCTTTGTTTTGTCTTTTTTCGTCTTTTTTCTTTGTTTTGTCTTTTTTCGTCTTTTTTCTTTGTTTTGTCTTTTTTCGTCTTTTTTCTTTGTTTTGTCTTTTTTCGTCTTTTTTCTTTGTTTTGTCTTTTTTCGTCTTTTTTTGTCTTGTTTTGTCTTTTTTTTCTTTTTTGTTTTGTTTTTTTTTTTTTTTTTTCTTTTTTTTTTTTCTTTTTTTGTTTTTTTTTTTTCGTCTTTTTTTGTCTTTTTTCGTCTTTTTTTGTCTTGTTTTGTCTTTTTTCTTTGTTTTTTTCTTTGTTTTGTCTTTTTTCTTTGTTTTGTCTTTGTTTTGTCTTTTTTCTTTGTTTTGTCTTTTTTGTCTTTGTTTTGTCTTTTTTTCTTTGTTTTATCTCTTTGTTTTGTCTTTTTTTGTCTTTTTTTTCTTTGTTTTGTCTTTTTTGTCTTTGTTTTGTCTTTTTTTCTTTGTTTTATCTCTTTGTTTTGTCTTTTTTCTTTGTCTTTTTTCTTTGTTTTGTCTTTGTCTTTTTTCTTTGTTTTAACTTTTCTTTGTCTTGTCTCTTTGTCTTTGTCCCTTTTTTGTCTCTTAGCCTTTTCTTTGACTCTGTCTTTGTGTCTATTTCTTGTCTTTTTCTTTTTCTTGTCTCTGTCTCTTTTGTCTTTGTTTTTGCTTCTTTTTTGTCTGTCTTTTCCTGTTTCTTTGCTTTGTCTATATCTTTGTCTTTTCATTGTGTTTTTAAGAAGCTTTTGTCAAGCCAATAACTTTTCAGCACTCTCTTATATTTATACATGTATCTCTATCTATCAATTTATTAAATGTACTTAATGTTTTTTATTTCTGATATTTGAACATAAAGATTAAATTTCCATTTTTCTTTTTTGTACTGTTTACAAGTTATTCTCCACTTTTTATGCATTTATTTTTTTAAGTTTCTTTAAGGAAATTCTGGTGTCTACAAATGAGCTGTGAGAGATTTTCTACTTGACCCACTTAAAAAAAATATGACCAAACATAAGTTTTTAAGTGCATGTTGATGAGGTTAAGAATTTTTCAGCATCCTCTCAAATAAGTATAAATACATGGAATACCAGAAGAAACAAACATTTACTAATTCAACATGTTTATTACTATACAAATAAAACATTGTCCATATGTTACCTGTCAGTACTATGTGACTTTTCCCATGTAGTTACCACTTCAGTTGATGCACTTGCCACATTGGTGCATGCGAACATAGTATCAAGCAACTGGAGCTACCCTTGCACCTCTGCAACAATAGCATCAACTCTGCGAAACCACTTCCCAGGAATCAATTGAGGGGACCCAATTGAGTGATAATCTGAAGGAACCAATTGATCTCATGACCTGAAAACATCACCCCCTTCACATATATATCTCATACATATCTCTTTTAAGACAATTTTTATTATTTTTTTAAATTCATAAAAAAGAGAAAAAAAATGAATGTATGGGATTTCTGCCAATGTTACATTTGATTTCTTCACATAAAAATTGACCTTGTGTCACAAGTTGTCCTTGTTGTGAGACAGTTAAATTACAACAATTTTTTCATAATAGTTTCAAAATCATTTTTATATATTCCCAAGTTATATATATATATATATATATATATATATTTGGTTGGATAGATGTGAGTTTGTGACCCTGGGTTTCACGCTTTAGCGATCGTCAGACAAAAGCGTGAAACCCAGGGTCACAAACTCACATCTATCCAACCAAATATGTTAGCTCTATCTCTGATATTGAGCGCTTTCTAATAAGTACCCATGCATATAATATATAAATAATTATACATATATATATATTCATTTATATTTATATTCACTTTTCACATATATATATATATATATATATATTTGGTTGGATGGAAATCAGTCCAACCAAATATGTTAGCTCTATCTCCAATATTGAGAGCTTTCTAATAAGTACCACACATATAATATATAAATAATAATATATGTAATATATTACACACACACACAATCTCTCTCTCTCTCTCTCTATATATATATATATATATATATATATATATATATATATCGGTTATTGAAAAGATTTATTTTTTTGTTTAGCATACTACGTAAACAAAAATAAATCTTTTCAGTAACCAAGGCTTAAAAAGTCAAAATTCCTTTTTTAGGAAACTTAAATTTGTTTCTACAAAATTCATATCTGAAAATTCTATATCTTTCAAAACAGATTTTCATTTTTATTTTCTTAAAAAAAAAAAAAAAAAAAATTTTATTCGAAGTTTCCGGATAAGCTTTTTTCACACAAAAGTTTGTATTAAAAAATGTAAAATCTAATTTCCATCAAAAGTTATATTTAATTTTATTTTACTAATATTTTTCTTCAGCATAATTGAACATCCTGCATTAAATTATGATGGCATTGGAATATTTTGAACTATTTTTTTTTTTTTATTCCTCCTTCATGCCAAATGATATGCAAGTTATACAAGTAGAAGTATATAAAAAAAGTTAAAAACAAGTATTTTTATCCCATTTTTATTTGACGTGATTATGCTATAATTTATTCCATTTTTAACCTGATATGTTTTAATATTTTTAAAATAAAACTGGTAAAATTGAATCTTTTAATAATCAAATAAATAACTGTAAAAATCAGTCACATGCAAAAAATACAAATTTACAGTTATTCTCATCCTTATGATGATTTTAATCGTCTTTAATCTTATTTTTATTTTAATGCTTTATAACAGTTAAATCTCATACCTTATAAAATGATCAAGTTGGATATCAGAATTATTTAGCTTTCAACTTCCTAATATTTGCTAAAATTATATCTCTTTAAATAAAAAAAATCAAGAGAGATTTTTTTACTGTGTTCTTGCACTTTTACACTTTTTTTCTTTTAACAAAAATAAGACTTATTGATTTTTTTTTTTTTTTGAAATTACAAAATTTTTTAGTTGTGAGAAATCTTGTGTGTGTATGTATATATATATTGAATATTTATATGTTGAGCTACAAAGGAAAGGGAGTTGTGGAGAGCCAGGATCGCCCACATTTTGAAGGAGAAACTGCATACAAAAGAAATTTAGCATAGTTTGTATAGCAGAGGATCTGAACAAAAAACAAAATGCCAATGTCCATGAGAAATCACCATATTTATTTCCAGTAAAAGGCATTTTCCTAGTTTTCCCCAAAATGGGCCAGTGCAGTCATGTAACAATACGTCAGTGAGAGTTTTGATTTCATATTGTATAAATATGGACAATAATTTAAGAAAAACTGATGTAGTCAATTTATGAAAGCTGCATGTAATTTGTATGTGAAATATTTTTCAAATTATAAGATAAGTAACATGTTAGTATATATGTAATCTTTGAAAACATGCCAAACCCTAATAGTCTGTTTTCTGTCTTAGCTACTGTAAATGGTGGAACAAAATGTTTCCTTTAAAAAGCATTTTTCTTTAGTTTTGAGGAGAAACAACAGATGCCCTATTAACCTTTCCAACAATTACAGGAAAAGATACGAAAGGATAACAAATGTGAAATTACCCAAGAAAGGGATGTCTGTTCAGCTTTATAGAAACTGTATATTCCAAAAACAACATGTTTGACCTGTTCAGCTGCATGATACAATAATAACTATAATGCACTACAAGAGGATTTGTTTACTGATGTGCATAAGTTTATAATTTATTAAAAATGTCTGATAGAAATTATTCAAGGATTATTTTTATAAAGTTGTTTATAAAAATGGCAGCAAGAAAAAATGGGGTAACTTGTGTTGTCAGATCTTCACAAGATTAGTCATCTGTACTTTTATGTTTATATAATGAGAACTCAGATGCTCATACTTAAAATCAGAAAGAGGCATTTGAAATTTCTAGAACACATGAGAAAGGAAGGCTAGGAAAATCTAATACTCATAAGGCATCTTGAGGGAAAGATGAATATAGGGAAAAGTGAAGAAGTAGAGTAATATATATGTGTGTGTGTATATATATATATATAATATATATATATATATATAAAATAAAATCCAAACAAAAATGTAGAAATCAGACAAAATGGTAAACCTTTTCATTAACATATTTCGTCTTCATTAGGTAGGCATCTTCAGGTCAGAATGTAAGAAACATCTGTATGCGTGCTTTTTTTTCTTTTTTTTTTCTTTTCCCCATTTCATATATATGCACTTACACACACTGTTAATGTCTGTATGCTATGCTGGTGTATTCTGGTTAGAATTAAAGAACAAAACTCTGTTTTTTTTTGTTTTTTTTTAATTACACCCATTAATGTCTTCTTGAGAAGTAGGTGTTTTCCAGTCTGAATGAAAGAATAAAATAAGATATATAGTTAGCCACAAATGAAATAACAACAGGACAGAGGCAGGAATATACAAAATAAATTGTACAAAGTGCCTAGTAATGTGAAAATCTTGGACTATCAGCATTACTGCATAATAACACTTTGAACACACTGATTGTTCACCTTAAAAAGATTCACTAACTAGAAAATGGATTGATAGTGCACTGATCTCATAGTTTCCTATAATAAGCATAAGACCAGGCTCATACATTGATTGTTGCAAAGGCAATAATGGTACAATGTGGTATATGAGCTGGTGGGGTGTAACAAGGATCTGCTCAGAGTAGGCTAGTTTTGAGTCCAGCAGTGATTAGTAGATTTAATACAAAACAAAAAAAAAAAATCACAGAATTTTGTTCTTTCATTCTGACTAGAAGACACCAGCCTAGTATATAGGCATTAATGGTTTTAATCAATTATGGCATCCCAAAAATTTCTAGGAACCAGTTCTATAAAGGCAAGTAATCTTTAGGAAACTATTTGTTATAATGGAACACACCTATTCTATAGTTAATAGACTCTCCCACCTATAATAAGCAGGAGTCGCTAAGTTGCTCAGGGAGTTGGTCAGTCAGTCAATGCCGGACGACCGTTAGTCGGATATTAAAGTATCAGCTACCACCACTGCATCATTACCTATTATATAAAGTTCCTAACGTTTTGTACGTCTGTATAAAATAAATACTCCAATAGCTAGAAACTGCAAGAAAAAAAAAAAAACAATCCAGAAAAACTCACTTAGAATATTTCTGCGGAGGACTCTTGATTGGGCCTTCATCACAATAGGTAGGGAGGAGTAGATGCAATAGGCAACAATAAACTACAGAAAAACTCAAAATTGATTGTGCATTAATATTTAAGCTTACTTTTTAAAAGTTCAATAATAATTCTTCTGCCGCCACTTTAATTTAAAGACAATTTTATGTATGTAGGTCCTTACTTTCCATACAAACAATTAATTTTATTTCATGGGTGACTTTCACTGGATTTCACAATTAATTTTGATTATTCCTAAATTTATTTCCAAGTTATAAAAATTGTTTTGTTTAAAAAAATTGTCACAAAAATCATGTGGAAAAAATCACTAAAAACAATTGCAGTAATGAAAACTTGGGAATCCAAAATTTCAGGATTGTAGGCTTGGATTCGGCCTGCAATATTTTTAATTTGCTTACAAAGTCAGCCTGATTCCAAAAGGGTATGGTATGTTGGGCTACAAAAGTTGAAAACATGGACAATTTTATTTTTAAACACTGAAATTTGAGAAGAGTAATTTTTTTTATTCGAATAGGAGCTATTGAAAGTTAAAGTGTTATCTTTTTGATTGTTTTTGGATTCTGCTATCTTGGCTTCTACTGATAAAAACAATTACAGTAATGAAAACTTGGTAATCCAAAATTTCAGTATTGTGGGTCTGGATCTGGCCTGGAATGTTTTTAATTTACTCACAGGGTCAGACTGATTCCCAAATTATATATATATTGAGCTATGGCCTCTAGGTGTAAGGTTGAAAAAGTGTGACACAGTGACATTCACATTTATTATATAGATGAGTGAAGTATGTCCTTGCTGCAAAAATGTTTTTAAAATGATATGCTTTAAAATGTTGAAAAGTTCTCTGCCCCAATCACCATTTTGTATCTTCTTGAATCCTGTTCATCATTTATCCTTTCCCCAATCCCCATATACCCAGTCTTTTCTCTCCCCTTCATTCTCTGTAACCCCCTGCATACTAGTGACATTCCTACCTTGCTTAGGGTGAAATTATTAAAAAAAAAAAATAAATAAGTAAAGTATTTGTAGTGTACATTAACTGCTTTTTTTTTTTTTTTTTTTTGTCATTTGCATGTTCATTTATCTGTAAGTTTTATTACAAAATCTTTAACTTTCAAGAATAATATTTTTTTTTGTAATCTTTTCACCCCAAGCAAGGCAATAAAGCTACTAAGATGCAAGGGGCTACTGAGTGTTGGAAAATATGAGAAAAAAACGAAACACTATTAAGGAGAGAGAACAATAAAAGAACAGGAATTAAGAAGACAGAAGATAACGATTGACTTTAAATTTTTGAAGATCAAAATTGACTGGAAAGTAAGAAGCTGGAAGAGAGTTCTACAAGTGAGAAGTGCAATAGGAGAAACTATTAGCATAGAACTTATGGTTAGATCTAACCATTTCAATTGTAAAATGATGAGACCTTACTATCAATCTCATCAGTCAGTTATGTGCCATGCATGATACATGCTTAGGTGATCATATATCTTTTGATACATGACTGACGGTGCAGATTTTTTCCTGCAGTAGACCAGTTGCCATCTAAGGCTATAGAACCTGGCCTGTCCTGCTATTTACCCATGGCTGGGGGGAGAAGAAGAGGATTCATACCTTTCCCAAGGGTATTAGCATATACTAGGCTTAAAATCATAAAGTCTAGGTACCATAGAGGAAAGTTCATCATACAATTACCATAAAAGTATTTATAGAAAAGGCACAGGGAAGCTACGTTATGATGGTGTGGAAAGTGACTGAAGCCAAGATGCCATGTCAGGACCAATAACCTTGCCAATTCTTTGGATTTTATCAAGAATCTCTAAATATATAGCAAGAGCACTTTGAAAAAAATTCTTCTTTGGCTTTTGCATTTTTCACTATTGAACATATATGTATTTATATTAAATATTTTGTTTTTGACAAAAGCCTCAAAGAAATTTTTGGTGGCAAATTGATTCTAACTTTGTCAAAAGTTTTGCAGTGAAACATTTATTTCCACCGGATGGTAGCTTGTTCTTTCATGCCATTTTTTTTTTTTTATTATATAATCATTAATGAATCAGTGGGAAGTAAGATAATAGTTAATAAAGAGTATAGTGAGACTTGTATGCATTATTACTTAATGAAGAGTATGTTTTTCTGGATTGAAATGGTTACAAACAACAAATTGTGACAAAAACTATTAATGGATCCACAAGTTTTAACTTATAACCTTATAGTCAGTTTGTATTTGAATTGTTACACACCCTAGGCATATAAAGTGTCATTATCTGTTTACTTGTCTCGCCCTGTCCATGTAAATCTGCCTGTCTCACCCTGTCCACGTACCCACCTCATTATGTCATATTGTTGTGTACAATACTAGTAAAATTCCTGCTACCATATACTATATATTATAGTTGAATTTCATACTATGCTGGTCTGTATTTTACACCTGCTGTGGAATTTCGCATAGAAATTTCTTGTTATTTTGATACCAAATTTAACTACATTTGCCATATTTTTCATTCATATTGTTGCTATAGAAACTTGTAGAGCTGGTCCTGAAAGAAACTGTGTGGGGGCTTCTGAGTCAGAATTGAATGAAATTAGTGACTAGAAAGTCGATTTTGATCACAGTGACTCAGATACAACTGATAGAAATGCTGCTGAACATAATGCCAGCAGTGTGGGTCAGACTGGTAGTGGGATTAATGATGATCAAGAGTTGTGGAGGCTTCATAGGGAGGATGACAATTTTCTTCCCATTTAGTGTCTAATAGAAGATTGGGTCTTAGACTCTCTTCAAATACCCAAGAAGAATCATTTCAAGCAAGATGATGGGTCTTTAAGCATTGTAATTCTTTGATAATGATTCATTCCAGCCAAATTCAATACGGGGGTCTGAAATCGATATCTTCAAAATTTTCTTTTTTAATTTTCACCATTTATTTTGAGAAAGGTACTTCCAGAAAGTTTCAGTTCCATTCATCCTCAATTTATGGTTGCTTCTCCTCAAGTTTCCAGTTTTTCAGCTTGTAATCATTTTTAGCCTAATAAAACCACTGACTCCCATCCCTTTTTTAAAAACTACTCTTGGGAAATAACTTTGCCAAGTCTAGTAACATAGGTTATCTGAAATGGTGAGCCTCTGAAAATGGAACAAAGATAAAAACTGGAAATTTGTGGTCAAGCCATAAAACTTTGAACAGCCATAAAATGAGAATGGATGGAGCTATTTTTCTGTCTCCACTCTACTCTCTCTCCAGTTATTACCTTTTCTAGGGTAGGGGTGTGGCATTGGTTTAGTACTAAGATTGTTTCTATTAAAATCTTGAAAGTACATGTGTACTAAAATACTAAAGTTTTCCATGATTTTAATTTTTGTCTTTGTCTTTCAAAAAATGGAAATAAATTCAATGTAAAAAAAAAAAATGAAGGTACTTGAAACACCATTTGTTACCTGGGTACTTACTGAAATTTCGGAACCAAATTGATACCACCCACCAGCCATGGTCCAGTACCTTATTTGGTACACCCCTGAGCATAAGCTTATTTGCTTAAAAGACTGTCCCAAGTACACCAACTACATGATTCACCCCCATAACACAGACATATTGGGGGCTTCAGCCATATCATGTTGAAATGCCAGTTCTCATAATACTATGGCTACATCATGTTGAAGCACCTACTCCTATATGGATCACTGAAGTTAAGCAAGGTCAAGCCTGGTCAGTACCTAGATGGGTGACTTCTTGGGAATACCAGGTGATGTTAGCTTGGATGTGCAGGTGGTGTAATGGATAATGACTTGGAATTGGAAATTGGAGAACTAAGTTTCAATTCCTGTCGGGTTTGTTATATTTGCTTATGCACAAATTCACTTGGGAAAAGTATGAATTCACCTCTTCTTCCTCCCCAACCATGGGTTAATTAGTAGGGCTTGTATCAGTAAATCATTATCTCCAAAATATTTTTAAAATCCAAAAATGTTTTGTGGCTTTAAATAACCTGCAAATGGTTGATAAACTGTAAAAAACAAACAGGCATATTGGACATGTGAATCTTGTCATTGGCACCTTTCTTCCCTTTAGTGGCAGTGGAGGAAATGATTGTGAAGACCCAGCCTACTCCTGAAGAGTTGTCAAAGAGTTTGACAAAGCCATTCACGTGAATTTGATTTTGGTGGACAACTCTGCAACAAAGAAGTCTACACACTTGGCCAGAAGCACCTCCCTCATGGCTCATAGTGGATTGAGACAGGCAAGGGTTGGCAAACCCAGATGCATCAGACTGTCAGATGCTTGGCCTGTCAAGATCCACCTTGGTTATGCCAGCCCAACTGGCACTGCCCTCTTCCACCATCTTGGTTGTTGAGATTGTGTAGATTTTTGCTTATTCCACCGTTGGGGGTCTTCAGGAGTTAGTCACATTCAGTCTGCTCCCTTCACCTCAACCCTACTGCCATAGGTGGCCCTACAGGGGTTGAACCGCCAAACAGCTTTGCTCTTAGGATCACTGGGACATGTAGGCCCTCTACTATGACAAAGAATGACCAATATGAGAATACAACCAATTAAAAATTGGTGTTTTTCTAAAATAGCCCCCAATTATTTTAGAACAGGTGTACAAAAATATAAAATTTCCAGATAGTACTGGTATCATGAAACTGAAGTTTTGGGGGGGTGGGGTGATAGTGTCCGCTCCACCTTTTCCGCTTGATACAGAATTTTTTTAATGATCCAACATAAAACTGACACCATCAGGAATGGCATAAATCTTTCACTAAAAAAAACATCAAAAGCTGCAAATTAATCTTTGCAAAATGTGACGACTAAACAGTATTATATTGTTTTATTTTTACTTTTTAAGGAATAGTAACTATTTTTTTTAATCTTTCTTACTAACCCAGTAGTTTAGATGACTAATTTGTCTATATACAAAACTTTTACTTGAATCAATTGAGCTTAAGAGGCAGCCAGCTGTAAGCTCTTCATCCAGTTTAACAAGACAATAGAAAACATTTTATTATATTCCTCTTATAGTTTTTTTTTTTTATATATATATATAGTCTTTACATTTCAAATGCCGTACAATGTAAGCTGCTTTTATTTGGGGCAAGTGTAATTAACATGTTGCTTGCTTTAGGACCTTAACTGAATAGAAATATTCTTTTCATTGTTCAAGGCTGTCAGTTGCTGAAATATTACATCTAATGAGAATTGAAGGTCATGCCCTGCGTTTCTGTGAATTGAGCAAGTACAAAAAACTGGAAAGGGGGCACAAGACATGGCTATGCTTTCTCAATAGATTTATACAACCTTTGCATTGAGGCAGTCTTTAGAGTGCTAGAAGTCCTACCAGGATTAATTATTGGCTAGCATAATCTTAAGTAGATGACACTGTTGATGGCAGACACAAAAAGGAAAATGCAGGAACTTCTAGACAAGGTAGTAAAGGAGAGCAAGAAGAAAGGACTAACCTCAAAATGTAGGGTTAATAGCAAGAGGGGCAGCCCAAGATGCAAACTACATATTGGAGATGTCAAAATCGAAAGTACAGAAATTTAACTATCTGAGATGTGTTATAATGGACAACAGAAAATGTAACACTGAAATCTGAAGGTAGATTGGAATAGCAAAAGATGCTTTCTGAAAGCTAAACAAAGTATTAAGAAACAGAAAAATTTTATTAGAAACAAAAAGAGTACTGAGCTGCTATGTAATATCAAACCTCCTCTATGGCAGTGAATACTTGACAATTTCCTCATAGATGAAGAGGGGACTACAGCTAACAGATGTGGTTCAGTCGAATGATACTGAGAAGATATAGACAGAATGTGTGAGCAACAAGGAACTTTTAAGGAAAATGGGAACAAAAAAGACACTTGTACTCAGAGAGTTCAAATTTCTGGAATACCTAGGAAAGAGGACTTGGAGAATTTAACACTTACAGGACATTAAAGGCAGGAAGAGGAGAAGGAAACTTTCAGTAACCTAGCTAGTTTGTGCAAGTGGATGGTAGAACAGATTACTTATATTAGATCTCCTTTCTATTAAATTGTTTTGGTTTTAGTTTCTTTTTGCATGATAGTAAATTGGTAAATTTGTTATGGATTGCTATTTTTTTATTTTACTAAATGATTAATGTAACTAATTTGTTTTCCCAGAATCAATATTTTCACCCTGTCTCATACTAAAAAAGATACTGTGGCTTCATTTGGTGTTTTGAGAAAAAATATTTTGTTTTATTTTTTTTTGTTTAATAAGAATATTGAACTGTTACATAATATCAGTCCTTGTATATAGCAGTGAATGCTGGACAATCTACTTACAGATGTAGAAGAGACTTGAACCTACAGAAGTGTGGTTTTACAGAAGGATGCTGAGAATACCATGCCACGAACATGTGAAAAAGGACAAAGTTTGAAAGAAAATGGAAACAAAAAGACACTTATACTTAACATCAGAGTTGAAATTTCTAGGGTATATAATGAGGAAAGAGAGCTTGGAAAATTTGATACTCACAGGACAAATTGAATGCAAGAGGGTCAGAGGAAAACAATGCATAATATTCCTAGTGAGCTTGAGTAATTGGATGGCAGAACATGGTTTAGGGGTGATAACAAAAAGACAAAATTTATTAAGATCAACAAAGGACAGGAAATTGTGGAGAGCCATGATTGCCAACATCCTGAAAGGAAACAGCACATAGAAGAACAATGAGCTTGAGTAAATAGATGGCAGAAACAGGATTTAGGAAAGATAACAAAAAGAAAAAAATTAAGAGCTACAAAGGACAGAGAATTGTGGAGAACCATGATCGCTAACATCCTGAAGGAACATGGCACATAGAAGAATACTTGAGTTAAATAAAAGGAAAAAAAGTTTTGCTGATAATAGTAAAGTATATATTAATTTATATTGGATATCCTTTCTATTAAATTGTTTTGGGTTTTAATTTATTTACATAGTAGTAAGAGTCAGTAATTAATATTGGATATCCCTTTTGTTAACTCTAGAATAATAGGCTACTCAAGTAGAAAAAGAACCAATAAAAAATGAAACAGCAGAAGTAGAAATGTAGGTCAGGAAAATCTTTTTGCTTTCCTCTCTCTCTCGGATTCTATATCCATACTACTATTTGTACTTACAATTTATTGGTGAATCTTTGTGATAAACACACACACACATTCAGATATAAAATAAAATATATCTGTAAAAAGACAATGTGAATAAAGACAAAAGGAAAACTTTTCTTTGTCAACAGTTACTCACTTCCGTTCATTAGGCATTAAATTACATCACTTATCATCTGCCGTAGTTTACCTTGACTTTCACAGCCTTAATATTTTTGAGTGTTCTTAAATTTTAAAATTTTGAAAACCTAACAATATTTTTTACTTCTGTTTATAAATACAACACAAAATAAAATCTTTACATTTACTTTGATAAAGAAAAGATTTTATTTTGTCTTTATCCTCACACACACACACACACACACACACATTTTATATATATATATATATATATATATATATATATATATATATATATATATATATATATATATAAATGAGTTATAAATTTCTATATATCAGAGCTATGTTAGGAAATTGAATGAAGAAAAATTCTGTATAATGTTTTGGCCTCTTGGAGGATTTGTTGTACCAAATTAATGTTTTAGCATCATATTCAGTGGGGGGGGGGGTATAAATGCAAGCATTGGTTGTAATTATATACCAAGTTGAAACACTGAATATGTACAAATACTCAATTTTAAATTTTGTCGCTTTTGAGTTAAGTTTTGTTATTGTGGGGAATCAGCTTGAGTGTGTCCAGACACATCTGAAAAAAAAAATTTACAGTAAAAAATTTTAAATTCTGCATTTCTCCTCAATACATAATTATAACCAATGCACTCCTTCCTACACAAATATAATTTTATCAAAAATAACAGAATAGTCTGAAGTCCTTCAATGAAACGCATTACACAGAATTTTTCCACGTTGTCATTCAAGTGCCTCATATATATATATATATATATATACACAATTGGAATTAAGATACCTTCAGTTAATGACCATTTTCATCTGCAAATTTTAATTTTAAAATTTGCAGGATTTTTCAAACTGTTTATGGTATCAGTTTGTAGTGGGATACTGGTTAGTTGGTGAAAGAAAGCGCTCTTTTGTGAGTCAGTTTTAACATATTTCAAATTCTATGTTGTGTTAATAGGACTCGCCTGGATTATACCAATAGATTACTACCTCTGTCTGTGTGTGTGTGTGTGTATATATATATATATATATGGGATAACATAATTCTTTTTATATACCAAGAATAATTAAGGGAAAGAAATATGCCAAAGTGGGAAGAGTTTTCGTGTTTCATCCTTTAGGACTTCATTGGACTAAGTTTATGTTGCAGTGCATGTGTAGTCACATAAACATAAACATAAACTTAGTCTGATGAAATCCAAAAGGATGAAACACTTCATTCAAAAACATTTTCCATTTTGTCATCCTTCTTTCCCTTGAAATAATCTAAAGAAGTAATGGATTTTTTATTTATTAATCCGACAGATTTGATCACTTAAATGTTATTTTTAGTAGATACTCATATTTGAGTAAACGCTTCGTTAATTTATTAAAAGGTATATTTATTTATTTTCAGCTACTGTTTAATAAACAGAATGTCTAGTCAAATATGGGTATCCAGTAAAAATAAAAAATAACTTTTAAATGATATTACACACATACTTATTGTTAATACATT